GGGAAAGATCAGAAACCCAAATTCCGTACCAAGAAAGCTCGAGAGAGAGACCCACAAGTCCAAAGATCTCTACTTCAGTGGTTCCTAATCTTTCCTACAAAACGAACAAAGTTTTTCACGCATGCCAAAGTCTACAAATCCACATTCAATTGAAGCAAACCTTCTAATCAATACCACAAAGAGGCTTTATCTCTAGCTTGTTCAAGAAGATTTTCTCAGCATCCAAACAGACAGAAGAAAATTAGTAACAACGAACATCATTCATGCACTGAAAGAAAAAAAAGACGAAAACTTCACACGAGAACCGGAGATCGACGGCGGGAAAATGTAGGAGCTAAGAAAAAATACAGTCACGAACTATGAAAAAGTAATTTCCTGTTGATTACACACTCACAGATTCAGAATTTACAAGCTGAAAGATTGCTCCTTTCGCTTTTGTTCGACTTGTACCACCGTTCTTCTTCCTCGTTCTTGATCCCCTCGACGCATATACCCATACCACAACTCGAAGCAAAGTGCAATGCACGACCACCACTAAATTAAACAAAAGAGAAAACCTTTTTTTGTTCAGATGGAAAAGTATTCGGTGGGGGAATTAGAACAAATCAATTTGTTTGGGGCTGATTCGGAAGGAAAAATAATTTTGGGGGTATTAATGAAATAGGTATACAAAACCATAGAGAAGTTGCCGGAGAGGAGAACTCCGGCGAGATGTGAAACTTGAAGTCATATTCCGGCAATCCTCGCTTCGCTTCGTTTTCCAGGACTCGCGGAACCAATCGCCCTTTCGAATCTATCCGACAATTTCCTAATTAAATCGATCTAACTGTATATGCTGTTGCAGTGCTTTTACTCGGAAAAGCTCGAAGATCTATAATTGCTCTTCGTCTCGCTCGCTTCTCAGTCTCAGAGCAATGGAAGATGCGTTTCGTGCCCTGTTTTCCAAATTTCTACTGAAATTAACCCTCGAGTTCCTCTCTCTCTCTCTTCGGGATTAGGGTTCTGTCTTCATAGTTGCGGGAAAAAGCGGCGTGATTCGTTCGTATCTGTTATTGCACGAGTATTTTGATGCGAAGGGTTCTTTCTTTAGGGGGAAAGGGTCATTCGATTTGGTGACGCGGCACAGAAAAGATGATAAACTCGCTTCTGAAGATCTTGCAATTGCTGCTCAAGTATGCACTTTTATCTGCTGGTATTGATCTTCTGCTCGATCGAAATTTGGCGGCTTTCAGAAATGGAAGGTGATAACAAACTTCTTTGCTACCACAGCCCCTTTTTGACGAAATAACTTTGGAATCTTGAAAAGGGTATATATATAATCAAATGTTGAATATGCAACGTGCTGCAAATTTCACTTCAGAGAGCGCATCCTGCAAGTGTATTGAGGGATCAATCGCTTTGGTCTTTCCACATCTACAAGCTTCTCTCCATATGGGGCCAGCCCTGTGTCTGATTCCAAGACTGAGCAAAATACAACCACAAGTAATATACAAAGAACGACGGGGGCATTGTGCAGAGAGGAAATGGCACGAGAGAGACAGCAAAGTACAGCAAAATGCTCAAGGTGGTTGTGGGATCGCTGCCAATTCATTCATTACATTTCAATCATTCAGGCTCACTGGCTATGGATACAATGTGCATTCCCTCAATCCACAATCAAAACTCGCGGCGTTCTTCACGTTTGCTATGTAAAATTATTGTACTTTGAATTCATGCAACAACAGTCGAAGCCATGAACAAGACAGGAAAGTAGTAACATCACTATGAACGAGATATGAGGGTAATAAAATCGCCAAGTGTTTAAGGGTTATAGAGTTTATGCAAATTACGCAGATAATCAGATAAAAAAAACCCCGATTTTCGTTTTGATTTTCTCCTGAAAGTATTATCTAACATAATCCATGCCACAATTGATCCGGAAAATAACTATTATCAAGCATTGAAGTTCAGCGTAAACGAGGAAAAAAGTAAAGTTTGCAGATTTAAAAACCTAGAGAACGAAACCCACCATAAGTGAGATCACATCACATGATCCTCTAGAACCTCTTCCCACGGCCGAACCCGAAAGCCGGCGCCGGAGCGGCGACAGGGTCGACCTTGACGAGCCCAGGCATGTCGGACATTCCCATGGCGGCGAGCATGTCGAGAGTCTCCTTGTCGACCTCAATGTGATCGGTTTTAATGGCGGATTCGTCGGGGACGAAGTCCATGCGACGCTCGCGCTCCTCCTCCTGAAGCTTGAGGGAGATTCCACGGACCGGGCCCTTCTGGATACGCTTCATAAGGTGGGTGGAGAATCCAGCGATCTTGTTCCGGAGCCTCTTCGACGGGATGATCGCGACCTCTTCGAGGATCTTCTTGTTGGTGTGGAAATCAAGGGTCATGCGAGAGTAGTACTTCTCGATCCCCTGACGAGAGGATTTCTTCACCGTCTTCGTGCGAACGCGACCCATATCGCCGGCGATGAATTAGGGTTACGATCTTGATTCGGTAACTGTCGACGGGGGAGAGAGAGAGAGAGAGAGAGAGAGAGAGAGAGAGAGAGAGAGAGAGAGACGAAATTAGGGTTTTACGGAGGCGGGGACTGTTTATAAATGTGAAAGTGGAGGGGCAAAACGGTAAAAGCGACTATGACGAGGAGATTATTACTAATTACTTCGTTGAGGCCCATAGTTGTAGTAGGTCCTCTAACCGTTTATATTGGAATTATGGACCGTTTATATTTACATATTAATATGTTTTATTTAATTTGGGTGTCTAATGGTATTAAGATTTTTTTTAAAAAAATAAATATGTAGTTTATTTAATTTGGGTGCGTAAATGTTAACCAAAGATGCAAAATTGAATATTGAATTTGATCACTAGAAAACCAAAAAAAAAAAGGGGAAGAACAAGAGAGGAGGAACACGAGTCAAAACTCGAGGACATGCGCGTCGTTTCTCCTATTTGAACTTAAACTGTGGGTCGTTTTATAGGCCGAGACCAGACGACCACTTCCATCTTTCCTAGATTCAAACGGCAAGCAGTGTTACTTAGGCCTAAAATGTAACATGCCTTGTCCAAAGGAACGGCAATGCATATCGGGGAAGATGCTGGTGCATGTCGGTTTTGTACATGGAAAAAGCTTGGACTGGTCAGGGGGAAAAAAAAATCACTCAGCAAAACAAAAAAGAGAGAGAGAGAGCAGAAAGTGAAGAGAGTGGTAGAAAGGGGCCTAAAATCTGGATCATCACCATCTCGGTTTTCTACCGTTATGGCTCTCCCCTTTAGTTTCAGACAGCCGTGACTTGGAAACCGGTCCTGGTCCGGCCGGTGGAGGTCTCTCCCCACCATATCCTCGAGCTTTACTTGGTCTTGAACCCATCAAGACGTGATCTTTATTACAGCCCTTGTCTGGATACCCTCCTCCTTTATGCTCCGACCCATCTGACGCTTTCTGAAGCTTCTCGCTCTGGCCTACCCAGTCGATTCCATCCGATATGCTCCTTTGTAGAGACGAGCTTTTCATCCTCGACGCTATTATGCTCGACGTCGATCTTCTGCCTTTCGTCTCTTCCTCGAACATTGTTGTTGTTGGCCATTTGTAGGAGCTTCTGTTGCTGTTGTTATTATTGTCCATATTCAGTTCTATCGAATGAAGATCGCTTTCCCCTGAATCTTGCTCTGATTCATCTCCATCCTCCTCCACCACTTCTCCATCTTCTTCGTTAAATGAGCTGAAATGGATGTTGTTGTTCATCAGGAACTCTGCGATCTCCTCGGCGTTTACATGGCCTTGAGGTCCTCGAGATTTCTCTTTCGATCTTTTGGCTCCGAGGTAAGCCTGAAGCTGTGTCCTCAGTTTATCGACCGCAGCGTTTTTCTCCTCGAGCTGGTGTTTGGCTTCCGAGAGTTTCATCTGGACCCTCTCCTCCCGTAAGGCATCGGCTAACTGCAGCATCTCCCGTTCCTTCTCGACCTCTTCTCTCGCTTTTAAAGATTCCCTCTTGAGTTCCTCGACTTCGGCTTTGTCTTCGCTTATGTCCCTAGCTAGTTCATCGCACACTTTCTCAACCATCAGCCTCACTCTCTTCTCGTTCTCGATTTCTTTCACAGCTTTCATCAGAGCTGACTTTGTCTCGGCCAATTCCTTGCCTAACTTCTTGTTCAGACTCTCGAGCCGTTTCCTCAGCTTCCTCTCTACCTCGAGTTCACCAGCAACAGATTCAACTGCTGCCTCAACAATCTCCTGCTCCTTGTTTTTCCACGCTGCTTTTTCTTCGGCAAAGCGTTTCATCAAGTAGTTAATGTCGCTGTGATCTGATCGCTGTTCTTGGATGAACTGATTGACCTGCAGGCGAGCTCTTTCGAGCTCGGCATGTAAAGCTGAGATGAGGGACATGCTCGAAGATGGCCGCTCCTCTTGACCCCACATCCGATTAATGATTTTGAGTAGCTCTTTTGATGTGGTCAGAGCGTTACTAGCATCCTTTAACCGTGTCTTGACTCCCACATTTGATCCAGCCGGAGTCTCCACCCGTGATCGAGTCTCGATCTGCATCAAGAAAAATGGGAAATCTCCGTACATCACGTCTTTCAGGTGCAGTTGGAACTAAAGATGCAGCCAGTTTCCGCCTGTCTCCATATGTAGATACTGTTAATGTTTATGTCTATGAGCATATAGAGGTGACAGACATATGCATCTAACTACAGATTCCATGCGTCCAATATGAACTGCAATTCCAACCCCCATATGCACAATCAAAAGTTTGTATTGAAAACCATCTGAAAGTTTAACAGACAATACTCTGTCTTCCATGGATTCTGAAAGAAACAGGCCGAGAAAGTAGTATCAGCTTACATCCATGAAGCTGCCGTTGCTGATAGAATCCATCGGGCCGACATTGTGGTCTGCAAGCCTAAGCTTCTGCAAGATGGAGGATGCTCTTCTCTGGCGGCTTCCAGTCCCTGATCTCTCCATCCTCTACGGAAATCAACTGATAAATCAGAATTGGAAAACGATGTTCTTTCTTGGTTTCCTTATCACCTAAACCCGCAGCAAAAGAAACAGGCAAGCCCCTTCTTGCATCACCAGATTCAGCAATGTATATATATAATTATATATCATTCTCGCGATTACAAATAATATAGTTTATGATCCACTATCATTCCCAATACAGTTAACACCAACCACCTTAACGAATAATCAAATCGACCAACGAGGTCCAATGATGGACAAGCAAGCCTCATATGCACGCTGCTGTTTTAAGCACATGACAAAAGATTCCAGGACATCAACCTTCTTATATTCTTCTGTAATCCCACTTCTTAACAACGATCACAAGAAAATATTCTTATGAATCACAAAAGCAAATCACCACTTCAGAATCACAAAAGACTAATCATTTATCAGTTAGGAGAATTGGATCTTCGTATTTCCTATATGGATATGTAATTGTTGTTAGCGAATATAGAAGGGTCAGGATCTAAAAGCAGGCAAGCCTGTTTTCTCTCTCCTTTGATCAGTCAAAATGAATCACATGGTGCCAGCAAGATTGCCAAACCCGGCAAGTTTTCTTTCCACTTTCCCACCATCCAAGCGAAACCCAGAGGAGAAGAAATTGAGCTACCTCGGAGATGGGGCTATGAGATGGATCGGAGAGGTGAGGCGGCAAGTAAGGGGAGTGCACCGACCTCGGCGGAGGCGGAGGAGGCACGCCTCTTTCCTTCCTCGTCTTCCTCCTCGCCTCCGCCATCCTGTTCTCCTCGCTCTCCTTCGCCACTCTAGGCGACGGGATCTCGTTCATCTCCCACAGCGTCGCCGCCAGCTTCCTCGCCGAAACCGGTGGGGCCGCCGCCGCCGCAGCACCGGACTTGCTCCCGCTTTGCGACGGCGCATACCTCGGAGACGCGGCGGGTCGCAATGCGGAGGCTGGAGTCGGAGATCGGCCGATCAGCCTCCACGTAGGGACAGGAGTAGTGGATCCTCCTCTCTTCCCGACCACAATCGCTCTCTTGAACCTGTAACCCTCCCGGAGAACCGACGACGTCGATGATGACGGCGATGACGAAATTCCACGCTTCCTGATTTTCCCTTGCAGTAGCAGATTCTCCACGCTCTTGTTCTGCCTCGGCATGTCGAAAGCCTCTAGATCTCTTCCCACAAACAAAAACTAGAAACCGAAAACAGGTAAAAGAAAAAAAAAATCAGCTTCAGAAACCAGAGAGAGAATTCACCTATAAGCAGGACAAAGAAAGGAAGCGAGTTGTTGAAAAGTGAACCTACAGAGAGCTTCAAAGCATATCTATGGCTTCCCTTCCATGGAAATGCAAAAGAGAGAGAGAGAGAGAATTATAATAAGAGACAAAGTTAGGAATTTGAAGCACTTGGCGGTTGCTGTGTGGAGGTTTGATCAGTACAGAGTGTATGTAAAGTGTAAAGGCGAAAGGCGACTGGGAAATGATTAGGTGTTGTGGCGAGTACTGAAAATAACACGTGTCATAAAATGGTTGGTCACGCAGGATTCCGCCAATAGATGAAGAAGATGAAAGCGATGATGTAGGAAAATAAGAACGAAAGATGGAGTTGATTTTGGGGCGACGGGTCGGGGAATAAATGACACTTTGACTTCAATATATAATTTCTAATACATGAAACATGTTTAAAATATATGTAGTTGTACATATGTTAATTTCTTAAGGAAAAAAAGCCTGACAAAATTTTTAAAAACTATCTTATTTTTGTTATATTTATTTTATTTCTATTTTCATAATCTTTTTCAGTTTCTATATATTTCAATTAACAAAAACAAATACATGTTTCGAATTTTTCCGCATTTTAAAATCTAAAAACCAAAAAAAAAATTCAGTCAAGATTTTGTATGTTTAATTTTCTTAATATTATTTCTAATTGAAATATCTAGGAATCCATTATTATTGATTGTTAATTTATAATTTTTTAAAATAATATTTTATGATTTTACAATGAATTTAAAATATAAGGTCTAGTTTATGTGAGTAGAATAGTTTAAAGTTTTAATGGTTAATTTAAAATTAAATTTTTTTGAACGAGACCATTTTATTTTAGAAATGCCTATGAAAGTTTTTAATATTGAAAATACATGTTTTACAAAAATTCATATATTTTTAAAAAATAGGAAATTGTGGGTAAAAAAGTTCACAACTTTTTTTTATTATTTTATTGATTATTTTTTCCATTAGACGCCTACTTATTGTGTCACGGTTATTTTTCATAAATAAGCACTTGGTACATCAAATGTAACTTTATTTTGGTCGGCGACTGTTAAATGTAAATTAAAATGATACAACTTTTGAGAAATAGAGATGTAAATGACATTTAATCGGGTTTCTTTACTCAGAGACGTACCAAATAAATTCTTTTTTTTTTTTTTTTTTTTGCAATTGGAGAGTGGATGAAATTAAGGGAATTAGAGTGGGGCCCGCAACGTGATTGATATCGTGTTTATGATTCATAATCATATGATCATGCCCCCTCATTTCTCAATGTGGACTGACTGCTCATTAACTCTACGTTTTTCCTTACTTCTTTTGTTCCAATTGCACTTATTTTATGATTATCACATATCTTAGTTCCGATTCTTCGTTTATCAACAAATCATTGTTTTGAAAAAAAAAATATCATTTCGCATGATTTTTTTTTCCTTTTATTACATACAATTTTTGTGGGTATACGAATAGAATTTTTTTTTTATATATTCTAAAAGAAAAATCTTTTGTAAGATGATATTTATCGTTATTTGTCTTGTTTCGAGTCGATAAGATTTAGGAAAATATGATTTTGTCTTGTGGCTTTTGCAAATAAAATCCAATAGCAAAAAACTTTACTAGATGTCCTTTTTTAAAAAAAAAAAATTCATGAAGCTTGTTCATATGGGCTTTTTTCATATGGTACAATAAAATGGGCTTTAAGTTTATATGGGCCTCAGATATTAAGCCCATAAGAAATCCATACCAGCTTTTATAAGAAAAGAGGTCCAAAACAAATGAAATCTGAAAATGAATCTGAACCGTACACGTGTACGGTTCTCTCCACAACGAGTGAGATCTGTGGCCAAAACTATCACAGATTATTATTTATCTACTTTAATCAAGCAAGTAAAATCGAATTCATTTCATATACCGTCCGACTTGGCAAACCTCTTCCAGTCACACAGATTGGCTACAATATTTGAAATATATTAGATATTTCTGAATCTGTGACAAAAAAATATTATAATTTCTGTTTAATATAGACAAAAAAATATTATAATTTTTGTTTAGTGTTATATTAATATATAGAAAATTTACTTAGGAGTATACCTTAGATACTTACTCATTTGAAAATTGAAAACTAATAAAACAATCCATATTACATATATATATATATATATATATATATATACACACGTATTCTCGCACATTATACACATATATAGAGAAAAAAACTCCTAAAAAACTTCGAACTTGCAAAAACATATACAAATAAACTTTCAACTTGTAAAATTATCATTTAAATCTCAAATTTGCGACATGTAACTGAATAAAACCTCGAACTTGCAAATTGTTGTTCTAATAACCGAACTTGCAAATTATTACTCTAATAAACCTTTGACCGGTTTGACCACAATTTCAGGTGATCAGAAATCTACGTTGGCCCAGAAAGCTGATGTCAGCGTGTCCACGTAACCAACTTTAAATGATTTTTTGCTCCAAAATCGGATTTATTTACTCTCAAACCGGATTAAATTTGTATCCAAAAAACGCTGATGTGACAAAAAATCATTTAAAGTTGATTATATGGACATACTGATATCAGTTTTCTGGGCCAACATGGATTTTCGATCGTCTAAAATTGTGGTCAAACCGGTTAACGGGTTATTACAGCAACAATCGAAATTTTATTCAGTTACATATTGCAAGTTTGAGGTTTAAATGACATTTTTAAAAATTGAAAGTTTATTTGTATATTTTTTTGCAAATTCGAGGTTTTTTAGAGATATATATATATATATGTACGTAGATAGATATAGTTGTGAGACGAAGGAAGGCAAAGCGTGGGAGGGGCTTTCGGAAGGAAACAGAGATGGTCTGCATCCATTTCGGCTGGGAATTTATGGGATCATGGCCGTTGTGGGCCCATTCCTCAGCCTGCATCTACTTTGTGGGCCCAACTCTAAGCCCATTCATATTTTTTTTTTACCCATCATGACAAAAAAAAGGAAACAAAATCAAGAATTAAATAGTGGTATTCGTACAAAATAAATTTGAATTTTATTTCTGTGTACTTATATTAGAGAGATCCGACACAAATTTTTTTTTGACGAAAAGCGCATGTCAAAGAATAAATATTTTTAAAAAAAAACATCTAATTAGTACATAATAAAACCCATTTTTTTCATTTTTTTTTGTTTTCATGAGTAGGACAAGCAATTTTTCAGGATAAAACAAGAAGTGGTGGAGAGAAAAATACACAAAAGCATGTATATAGAATATAGCTAACGACAAAGAATTTGCCACAGGCAAAATAAAGGAAAAGGGAAATGGGGTTAAAATGGGTAAAAAGAAAAAGAAAGGAGTGAAAAAGGCAAAAAGGGAAATATATGGGGGGGGGCCTAACAAATAATAGAAATGGGGCCCATACGGAGGAGGACAAAAGGAATTGGGCTCAATTTATATATATATAAAAAAAAAACCCCTCAGGCGTGCCTTTGTAGATGTCCCCACTCCTCTCACCATCTCTTCTACTTTCTGGTTTACCCCTCCAAAGTCCAAACCCCCAAACTTAGCCGTACCGGTGGAATATATACATATTATATATATACTATATATATATATATATATATATATATATTATAACTAAAAATTGATATGTACCCATGAATTTCAAACGATGGAATTTGGGTTTAATTAATCACGTAACATCAAATTCTTTATTTAAAAGTTGTATGACACTTTCACAATTCAAATTATGTTCTCTAGTGAATTTGAGTCTGTTTGATTTCTATTTTATTTATTTTTTTGCCCTCGAAATATTTTTCTTAGAATGTCGAAGGTTGTCTGGCCAAGAAAAATAGTCTTTCTAATGGTTGTTTTTATTGAAATTTATATCCATATAAAAGTATCATTTAGCCAAAAAAAAATGAGACCATATTATATCAAAGTTTATACGGTTTTTTGTATTACCAAAGATTAAACAAATCTTGGGCGTATAGTGAAATTTATAATAAAAAAAAGTTTCATGCAAGTCCATATCTCATGACGACATATGCATGGATTCATTACGTCATTTTATAGATAATTCTGAAATTCCGATGAAGGAAACTTTTAATTTTACTAGATCAGCACGTTTTCAGTGATAAATCACAAATTCTATTTATTTTTTTAGTGTCAAACTCTTTTGTTGGTTATATCTATAGGAGCATATATATGTTTCGGTTTTCAAATTGGTTTGTATTTTTTAGATTTTGATAGAAAAAAAAATATACTTAAACATCAATTCTGATTTTGATCAGATTCGGTATTTATTATTTTTTTAAAGAGATTCCGATTTTGAATTCACTTTTTAATAAATATAAAATTCAATTCTGATCAGTTGAATTTAGTTTAAAAAATCATGTATAAGTAGTTTTCAAAACAGATATAGACTATATATTCCTTTTTTGTAAAAAAAAAAGGACTATTCGACCCTTTAAATTTGATAAAAGTGAAAATTACATAACAAGCTGTATACATCCGATCTACAAATTGGAGTTTCACTTATTATTTTTTATGTTCTCTGTCGCGCTATTGGTGGATATAATCTGTTTCCAAGAAGTCGGAATTTGTTGCCATCTAATAATTCTAATAATAATAATAATAATAAAGAAACTTAATTGTCGGTCCAAGATATCGGCTGGCTAAATTTATGTCTGAGCATATGGCCTATTGATACGTAGAGTCTGAACAATGCAGAGCAGAGTTATTTCAAATTGCGTGGTCCCCTTTCAAGGCATGTAGTTATGCTTTGTTATAATATATATACATAATACAATAACTTGGGTCCCTCCATACACATATAAATTGTTAAATATTGTCATTAGACTTATGAATATGAAGGATATATAATTGGAATCTGTAAACAATATACATATATATATATATATAGTAGAGGTAATTTATTTGAATAATGCAAAACTTGCCCTGATTTCCATTTTCCAAGAACCACTTTCCTAAAATAACAAAGCGGTTGTCGTGTTGTGAGTCCGCAGAGACATTACAGTAAACGAAACTTGCAGATTATAGAAACCCTCCACGAATTACATTGCAGATTCCCTCTTTTGTTTGCCTTTTCTTTGCGGCCAAGGGATCATATCTTTTATGATCATTATGTACACCTATATATATACACATACATACGTGTGTGCATGTGTATTGTATTGCTGCTGATTATGTGAGTGTCACAATGCTTGGCATAATGGCATGAAACTCGATGCAAATGCATTTATACATCGCTCCAAACGCGTCGTTTATAAATATTTTTGAATCAAAATCATAATTAATGGGATGCCAAATTTTATTCCGAAAATAAAAAAGTTTTAAAATATTTTGTGTGTTTTTTAGGGTTTTTTTAATCAAATATATAGCTTATAATATGAACACAAGGCACCAAAAATACAAATTAGATTCTAAATTCTTAATTCCGTATCCGAGTTTATACAAAAATGTAACGAACTATCATAATATATATATATATATATAACATTATCATCATTATCGTCGAAATCATTTCCTGATGGTTCTCATTTTAAAAAGTCAGTCTGTTTATGACGAATTGGATTAAAAGAAATTGTAGATTCTTGGATTTGAACATTTGAATTAAATAAGGAAAATAATCAGAGCAAGTGGTCGTGGGCGAGCTATGCCTTAATCTGCAGATTCACTCACCAGAGAGATGATGCATGTAGAGCTAGGGTTCAAATATATATATAAGCGCAGCAAAATTCCAATATATATTTGAAAATAATTATCAAAATCACGAAGTTACTAAGGTAATTAGCAATAATTTTGTGAAAAACGTTACTCTTATTACACGACAGAACTATAAAATGAATTAATTACACCTTCTATGAAGAGAGACACGAAGTGACAACTTGAAATTAACATGCAACGTACGACTCATAAACATTTTGTCTTGAAGACTTCTTTCTTGATAACCCCAAATTCCTGTAGCCAATGGATGGTAAGAAACCTAAACACTTCTTATCCTCTAATATATCACCCGCATATATATATATATATATATATAGAAAAATGACATTTTCCTACACCAACTTTGCAAAATGTGACCTTTTCCTACACGAATTTTTAATTTGACAAAAAACTACACCAAATTATCAAATGTGTCAAATTGATACACAAACTACCCAATTTAACTGCAATTTCCTACACAATCCGAAAACGGTGTTAAGTGTCCGTTAACCGCTGACGTGGCACGCCACGTGGCGGCTGATGTGGCACGCCACATAGATTTTTTGCCACATCAGCATACCACGTCATATTTTAAAAAAAAATTCCGAAAAAATATGAAAAAAATCGATTTTTTTAAAAATTTAAAATAAAATAAATAAACAAAAAAAAAATACATATATATTCATATCTATATGCAAATAAAAATATAAATATATATACAAAATAAAAAACATACACATATATATACAAACATCTATACAAATATATATATACATATACATACAAACAAATATATTTATATATACATATACATATATAAACACATATATATGTATATATACATATGCATATACATACATACATACAAAATAAAAAAAATCACACACATATATATATATATATTCATATCCATGTCAGCCGCGTGGCGTGCCACGTCAGCGGTTAACGGGCACTTAACACCGTTTTCGGATTGTGTAGGAAATTGCAGTTAAATTGGGTAGTTCGTGTATCAATTTGGCACATTTGATAATTTGGTGTAGTTTTTTGTTAAATTAAAATTTCGTGTAGGAAAAGGTCACATTTTGCAAAATTGGTGTAGGAAAATGTCATTTTCCCTATATATATATATATATATATATATATATATATGCCATGACATATAACATATATATGTACGTGATTGTGTGTGTGTATACATCGCATACATAAATATTGTACTATATACGAGCTTGTACTTAGTATTATAATTTATGACATAATTTTAAAGATTTTTCCACTCATGTCATCAAATAAGTAACAATTGTTCGTGAATATAAACGTCGAAATTAAATATAAAAGGGAAAATATCGATCGCCCACAATAAAAAAAATAAAAAAAGGCAAAAAAGACCGACAAATAGAAGAGCCCAACAACCTCAATTATCACGGGGAAGAAGCTACGTGCCCCAACATGTGCAAATTAAATATTAGTAATAATAATAATTGTAATAATAATAATTAATAATTTGATAATAATAATAATAATTTGATTTTGTTGATGTTAGTGCCTTCAAAATCGACCTGGAAAATGAGGCATATTCTTGTCTATTTCTTCATTTTTAATATTAAAATTAATAAATATATTATCGTTGAAAAATACATACACGTCTAATTATCAATCATATCCACAGATAATGTTACAAAATTAAATTAGACAACCTACTCAAATTATTTAGTTACCTGTTAAAATAACAAGTATATATAGCATTGGATTCAACATCAAGATCTTTATGTTCCATTATTACGAAATGAAATATATACGTATTCTATTAATATATCACGATTAAATCATATATTTCAGACAAAGATACACATACACCTACCTATATAATAGATACGGATCCACCCAGCATATATAATCTGATTGAATTAAATATAATTGGGTGTATATATATATAATTGAACGTCGATTGAGATCGGAGTATGAGGAGAGAATTGGAACACGAACACAGGAAGAAAAGATCCAATCGGATAAATCTTATCTCATCTTTGTTTTCTTCTTCTTACAGTTATATTGGAAAATCAAAACTATCTTGGTTTTTATGTGTGTGTGTGTATAATATATATATATATATATATATATATATAGATAGATGGTGTATCTTTACGTGAATTGCAGCAGTCCCGTGATCAATATTAAAACTATTCTTTGGATTTTTATGATATTTTTTTTGTAAAGTGGATTTTTATGACTAAAAACACCACAAATAATTCCTAAAAAATTGTATTTAGTGAGGTATTTGTTGTTTTGAATATATATCATCATTTTGGTTCTGCTAAAAATGATTAAATTAAATATCTAGTCAATTAGATCAGAATTATACACGTGCTCTTAAATTCAATCGGATCCATTAATTGGAAATTAAGAACCGTGAATATATATCTCTTAGTATTTATGTTATTTGTAAAAAATTGTATTCTTTTAATTTAAAAAAAGAAAGAAACGGCAAGCACCAATAATGGCGTGTCCTGCAATCACGTGACATAAAATTCATGATTTGCTCTGCAAAATATAAGATATTACAAAAAAAACATAGATTTAGAAAACTTTAACAACTAAAATAGAAGAGGACCACGTACGTAACCAGTTGCACGTCCTTAGATTTTTCAGGTAGACGTGGGAGAAAGAGAAAATTTTCCTCGACCACGAGAAAAAAAATGGATATTAATTGGACGGTTTATGAAAAATATTCTTAAACGATGAGTTATTTATGTTAAATATATATACTTAATTTGAGAAATTTATGTACATATTGATGTACCAATTAACCTAACAATATAAAACTACATTATATATCACCATAATAGATTTTTTTTTTGTGAAACAAAGCATGAGAAATGCCTTTGAACAAAAATGATAAATTTTCTTAGGTTGATCATGCTTATTTTCTCCTATTCAATCGAAATTCGAAATTTGGTATATATAATTAATTAATAGTTGTATAATATAAAAATGTATATAAAGCTACAATTTAATATTATTGTATTTTTGACGTTTGGATTTATTTATTATATAGTAGAAGTTATATTAAAAACTACGGAGTGGTTTTCAATAATAAACTAAAATAATCGTCTAACGTTTTGACATTTAAAAACTATACGTTGGTTATTACAACTAGCTAGGAGATATACAGCTCAACTAATTTGAAATTCTGAACTAATTCCGTAGTAATGGTTGGTTGAAATGATATTATGAAATATTATAGGATAAATTAATACAATTAAAACATGATGTTACATTAATCATTTTCTTCAACCGGTATTAATTAAGCTAAATTAATTTATTATAGATGGGTTGATTTCAGTCGCAATTATTTTTTTATCTTACCCAATATACATATACATATACATATACATATACATATATATATATATATATATATGTGTGTAAGTAGAAGTGAAGATGTTATGCGATGTTGTGTCGGAAAGGCAAAAGCAGATGCTCCACAAGTTGGAGTTTACTTGCGTGAGGGGAAAGTATATCCCATGTGCCCTGAGAGACTTTGGGGGTGAAAACCAAGTTCAATCTCCACCGTTGGATCTCCCCATACCCAATCATCATGCTTGCGTCATCCTATGGGCCCCGCAACACCCTACCGTTTTTTTAACTTGGCAAAAAACATAAATATTGTTTTCCTTTTTCTTTCTTTTTTTTTTTACCTCTTCTCCTCATAAATACCAAAATTTATGAGAACAAATTGAATAATCATTTTTTATATTATTTTTAAAATCCAAATTGTCTCTTTATTTTCTGAGGAAACTCTTTCCACACGCAAATATTGATAACATTTATTAATTAAGTCTGACTAAAATATATTGGAACGGTCCTTTTTTTTATATATTTATGTCTCCATATGTTTATATACATCGTGAAAGATAAACTATTATATAGCTTTTTACACTGCATCGACTGATGTCAACCTAGATAGTTTCAAATAAATTTTGGCATAATATTCCATATTTGGTTCAATAATCCGACTACAGTTTATTATTGTTATTATTATTATTATTATTATTATTATTATTATTATTATTATTATTATTATTATTATTATTATTATTACATTTCCAATGCAAAATCAACTTTCTAACCAATATTGGGTGGTTTAACGGGTAAAAAAAAGAGCAAGATTTTTTTTTCAATCTGGGTTTGTGTCTTCGTTTAGAAATGGGTATTCACATGGATTTTTCCGATTCTCTGGGAGATATAGTCGGGTCAAAGACTCCGTGAACTTTCAAATTATAAAAAAAACTTTATTTTTACTGAATGAAAGATCTCTTTCAAGATTTGATATCATTTGTATTTAAGGAAGAATATATTTTATAACGACAATAGAACGAGGGACTGTTTTTTAATTTATAGTTTAGTGGGTAAGAGGTTAGGTTATATATATAATATATAATATAATTAAATATTTGAATAAAAGATATTTTTTCATTCTCAAGATAGCTGAAGATCAAAACATGTCCGTCCCAATTCAGCAGTTTTTAATGTCTGCAGCTACACTGCTAGTCTCCGTCTGCTACCTATTCTCCCACCTTTTTCCTTTTTTTTTTTATTTTTATTTTACCAAATTAGAAAAAATAAATAAATAATGTGAGTATATTAATATACATCGCGCTCAACCAAATCCTATAAGCAAAATGAAGTTACAATTTCCAATAAATTTACATCATAAATATGATTTACTGAACTGTACGTGTTTTGTGTGTGCATGAAGTTTCCTCTTGTAGTGGAAAATGTGGATTGTATAACATACCAATGGATGTTTCCATAAATAGTATACGACGAAATGGAAGGACCTTACTATATAAAAAAATTATATATTTAACAAATACAATTACATAATATAATTTGAGATCCACAAAAGTTGTCCATCACACACCAATCTTGGCGTGGAACAGACATGAGTATATATGTTTATGAAGTTGTCCATATATATATACACAAAAAAAGATAATTGCTTATTTTTATATTTTTATGCATGGGTATTATTATATGTACATCATTATGTATTTAATTTGGGGAAACATTATTGTATTTTATGAATATGTTCTGTATAATAATTAAAACACAACATATTACAAAATAAAATTCAAGGAAAAATCATTTGACGATTAAAAACGTTATGTTAATGGTGCACGACATGCCAATTTCATCACATTTATATGTAGACCGATCGCTGTTGTCGTGTATGATATTTTCTTTGATTAATTAATTAATGCAATTTCAAGATATCAAAGGTTTTTTGGCGAACAAATAAAATATATTGACGATTTATTACACCAAAACTCGAACAATATTGTCGTGTATTTTGGTTTTTGTTTTTTGTAAAATTATAATCTATTATTTCTTTTTGGGATTTGGATGGTATTCACTTTTCACAGAAAAATATCCATTTCCTAAAAAATTACTCTATTTTTAAATTATTTTAATATTTAATTTGGATTAAATTATTTTGATTCGAAAAAATAATATCTAAGCAATTCTTAAATCCGAGTAAGAATATTTAGGTATTACTCAATTACATTCGATTTTCTATATCCAAATCCAAAGTACCATCCATTTGTAACTCTATTTTTATAAAGTAGGAAACCCAATATAATACACCGAGTCACTTTTTTTTTCAATCTCACGGTTTCTGAGAATCGGACCCTTGTCTCTCCCGGCGGTGTGTTCGAGCTCGGATTCTTCAAGCCCAGCGATTCTCGGAACAGTTGGTATCTGGGGATTTGGTACAAGACCATCCCGAAGCGAACATATGTCTGGGTCGCAAACAGAGACAACCCTCTCTCCAATTCCTCCGGAACTCTCAAGATCTCCGACAGAAACCTCGCCCTCTTCGATCAAGCTGATAACCCCGTCTGGTCGACGAATCTGACCGGAGAAGTCAAATCTCCGGTTGCAGAGCTCCTCGACAATGGAAATTTCGTGTTCAGAGACTCGGAAAACAACAACCCGGATGAGTTCTTGTGGCAAAGCTTCGATCACCCGACGGACACATTGCTCCCCGAGATGAAACTCGGTTGGGATCTGAGAACCGGATTCGACAGATACATAACCTCTTGGCGAAGCCCGGATGATCCCTCCACCGGAGATTTCTTGTTCAAGCTCGAATCCCGAGGCTTCCCTGAAATCTTCCTCTGGAACAGAGATTCAAGGGTGTATCGAAGCGGGCCGTGGCACGGAGTCCGGTTTAGCGGCGTACCGGAGATGCACTACTCACGTCTTCAGATTCAACCATTCCGTTGAAATAACCACAGGTACTGATTCTAACCAATGCGGAATTCATGCATTCTTCCTCTTGTGCATTGAGGGGCATGAACACATTTACCAGGGTATTAGGGTTTTGATCGCACAGTTAAGTATCATTTGTCATTGGTAAATTTCTATATATAATTTGCATGATCTTTATGATTTAATCGATTTGCTCATGTCGTAACCCTTTCCTCTAGGAACTGATATGGAAAAGTAATTAACTTTAAACTTAATGCGGAAACATATCTTCTATAATCAGTGGTTTAATGTCGAAATGCTCTAATACAGGTCCTTGAAATTTCATGTAAGCTTTATACATTATGTAAACTATAACAGGGAATAGAAACAAACCAGTCTCTAGTATTCATATATTACTTGGTTTTGTCCTTGTAAGAATCTATATTTACATGTTTCATTTACGTATATATACAATATAAATCATATGTACAATTGCCAAACACCAAATATTGACGTGAAACTATACAAAACCATCAAGAAGATGAAGATTGGATTCATCTCTTTCTGAGGACAATCTTTCCCTCTGCATCTTCATGCATGATCTCTAAGACTTCATTCGGTGGCTTAAGCCTCCAAACTTGTGGTTTACCAAGTTCATGCCCTAACTTGGCTAATTGATCAGCAGCTCTGTTCCCTTCTCTGTATATATGACTCAATACACAGTTGTTTAGCTCGGGTATCACCACATTGATGTAATCTGCATGCCTTTTCGTCTCGTGGCATCTAACATTTCCTCTCTTGGTGATAATGTCGACTAGGGTTTTAGCATCTCCTTCAAGCCAAAGATCCGTCCACCCATTTTCAAGAACTAACTCTAATCCTCTCTTCAGAGCGGCGAATTCAGCCATGGAGCTCGTGGCTTTCCCTATGGATTCTGAGTATCCGAGAAGAAACTCGGCTTTGTGGTTTCTGAATATCCCTCCGATGCTGGCTTGCCCTTCTCTTCCTATGCTGGAGCCGTCGAAGTTTAGCTTTGTCCATCCGATCTCGGGTTTCTTCCAGACAACTTGAATAGGTTGTTTCTGGTAGTTTCTGATGAATACCAAACGGCTAACCCGAGATTGGATCAATCCAACAGTCTTTGAGAAGGCTAACATTGCTTTTATCGATAACTTCTCCCCGAAGAAACTCATAAGAACCTCGGATTTTGACCAGATTTATGTCCTAACACTGTGACAGAATTCTATGTACATGGTTTGATCAATGGTTTAGGGTTCACGATCAAAGGGGAACCCAAATAACTCTAATCAAGATGTACAACTCATGGCACGAGAGTACACCCTAAGATTTCTTGTAAGAAAAGCAAAGAATGAGAAGAAGAATGGTTGGAGGTAAACGAAAGGAACATTTCCACTATTTAATCAGTGGAAAGACCATTAGAGGTTTCTCAGTTCCAATGGAGATTTAACGGTTAAACACTTTTTAACCGTTGAAGATGAGAAACCTAAAATCCAGACAGAATCTAAAAACTGAAGCAGTTTCCGACCCCTTTTGTCTATCCCTAAAATATTGGATGTCCCTCCATAGTTTCGGGAACATCTCTCTCCCTCCTTTTTTTTTTTTTGGAAAATGCCATTTTAAAGTATGTGAATCCAGCTTTTCTATTACTGGTAATCTTTATTCCCTAACGTACGGTTGATTTTCGGATTTCCTGTTACAAGTTTCATGGGGAATCCAAGAACTACAGAATAGGATGATGGGTTTTGCGGCAACATCTGTGAATTCGCAACCATTAACATCGAAAATGAATGTTTGCTCTGTATTGGTTCTTCAAGTGAAGTTTCATGCGAGGAAACGATCTGATCAGAATGGTTATTGTGTGCATACGGGATTTAGCATAGGTTTCGTACATACTAGTCTATAGGGGCGTGGACGTTTCGGTATTCGCTTCGAAAATTGTTCGGTTTTATAAAAATATTTATCAATTGATTATTATTTTATATTCGGTTCGGTTTTTATTAAAAATTAGATTTTTTTAATAAATTTTGGGTTTTTGGAGTTTTTTAAAAATTCGGTTCGATTTTAAAAAAATACTATTTAAAAATTGGGATGATTCGGTTTGAGAATCGTACCGTATTTTTTGGTTCAGTGTGATTCCGTTATAAAGTACCGAAGGGAAACGACCACCACCCCTACTAGTCTATATATACCATATATATATTATATCATATATACGGGTTTTTTTGTATATCATTCGCTGTGATATAACATATACATATAGATTTAGTCCCAAAAAAAAACATTCTCGCAATTAAAAAACCGATTTTTCTGTATTTTCTTAAATTTATTTCCAATATAAAATTGACGGAACATTTTATATGTGGAGTGTCAAAACATACTATTAAAAAAATCAATGGGTGAATAATTAGTCTCGGCTTGTAAATACATTGAAAACAGACGTTCAAAGACAGATTATTAAAGTCAACGTAGACGACAGTTGGAGCGACTGAAACATGTTTAACGAGTCCACGTCAACTAAATATATATATATATATATATATATATTTCATATTTATCGAACCATTCCAACAAATCAACTTGAAAAAGGAGTCATGATTAATAAATCTTGCGATTATAACATTGACCATTGACCAAATAAAAACATTATGGACGTTGACCAATGTTGTATCGTGTTTTACTTGCGTCCAAATCATAGGACCAGATTTTCCTGTCAAACTATGACGAAACATGTTCTGTAAAACCCTAATGTGTTTTTTTTTTTACAGTTTAAGGAAGTACGCAACAACTTGGATCAATTTCAATGAATCATGTCATGGGATTTGATCATTTACGTTTCCTAAATAGTTATATATATATATATATATATATTATATTATATTATATTTGTATTTCGTCTGACCATTTTCTTTTTCTTTTTTTAAAAAAAGGGTTAGTTTTTGGGGGTTCGTGTAGCCTAACATAAACATAAAAAAAAAAACCTTTTTTCCATGCCTTTTACTACCATTGAAACTGTAAATGTATTTTATGTTTTTTGGGTACATTGTAAATTTCTTTTCAAACTATTCAAAATTTTTAAAACTTGACAATGAATATATCCTGCATACAATTCATTATATTATAAGAAGAATTTAAGTAATGAATATTCAAATATCTCTAATACTATAGGTCCGTCATGGAATCCGATGCGCTCGTACTTATTCCCAAGCAATAAAAAAAAATCAAGACAAAAAAAATTACCCAACAAGAAAGAACAAAAACATTATACAACTATATCATAGTAACATGCAGTGACTGCGTGTGTGTGTATATATATATATACATATAATGATTGAATATTTTTGCCATCACGCAAAACCTTAAAAGTACTCTCGTTGCCGTGTCCTTTGCTATCCGCAAAAACTACATCAAATAGTTCCCGCAGTTTTCACGTCAATCTTTTTTTTTTTCACTTCATCATTTTCATTTTAATACATCTCTCTCTCTCTCTCTCTCTCTCTCTCTCCTCTTCGTATGATACTATATTAGTACGAGTGCCCATTTCTCTTTCACCAAACCTCTGAAACTCTCTCTCTCTCTCTCTCTCTCTCTCTCTACAAGAAAATGTCATCAGTCAACCATTACTCGAGAGACGTCAACCATTCTACAACTCTCTGGTGGCAACACCAACGCCAAAACGACGCCATTCCTCCGCCGCCGGAAACCGCCGCCTCGACATGGTGGAGGAATCAACCCCAAAACGACGTAGTACCGTCATCTCAAAACGACCCCAGTACTTGCACCAGCGATCATCATCAATTAGAGTCGCTCTTCGAGAAGTCTCTCACGCCAAGCGACGTCGGAAAACTCAACCGCCTCGTCATCCCCAAACAACACGCCGAGAAGTATTTTCCCCTCAATGGGTCCTCCTCCGCCGTCTCCGGCGGGGGATGCGACGGAGACACGGCGGCGGAGAAGGGGATGTTGCTGAGCTTCGAGGACGAGTCCGGCAAGTGTTGGAGGTTCAGGTACTCGTATTGGAACAGTAGTCAAAGCTATGTGTTGACCAAAGGATGGAGCAGGTACGTTAAAGAGAAGCAGCTCGACGCCGGCGACGTCGTCTTCTTCCAACGCCACCGCTCGGCGGGCGGCGACGCGACGGCGGTTTCGTTAGTACGACGCGCGGTCCTGCCACGTCAACGACGATGCCTTATCGTCAACTTCCTCATCAAGTCCACGCGTCTAGTTACGATCCTCACTCTGGTAATCATTTTTTAATTGTTTGATAAAAAAAATAGTTATTTTTGTTTTTTGCAATATTTTCTCCGTAACGTTTATAAAATTCGGACATAAAATTTTATTTGGATGTAAACTATCGTCGTGAGTAAAAGAGCCATGCAAATAAAAAAAAAAGGACAGATGACATTATTATTTTTTATTTTTACAACATATCCAGCGATTACGTGTGCCTGTGTCTGGATAACAGCGACCTAATATAAAATTCTACCGAATTGAAGCAATGTGCATAGAAAGATGATAGACACGCGCATGGGAGCGCGTGAAGAGTACAGCCCAATCCCGTTGGATAAACATGCTTTTGTTTGGTTGTGCTTTTTTTTTTTTTTATATTTTTTGTTTAGAGAGCTGCACGTGTTGTGCGGTGATTATAATGATTATTTACAGGAACCGCCGCAATGGCGGAGGCTCAGTCGCCGGCGATGGGACCGAGCTCGAGGACGGTCAGGTTGTTCGGAGTTAACTTGGAGTGTCAGCTCGACCGCGATGATGACGTGGCGACGACCACCGTGGTCGAGCCGCCGTGCCGTGACGGCTATGGCTATGGCTATGGCTACGGCGACGGTGACGTGTCGGCCCAATTGTACTATTACCCTCACTCCATGGTAATTCTTCTTTTCTCTACAAATTATATATAAATAATAGGGAATTATACGTTGGAAAACATTCACCCTTAAAAAGATTACTACCACGCAGTTTATAAATCTTTTTTTTTGGGGATAAAAATGTGAAAGTGTAACGAATTATAGTTTTAATATATGATATCGTACTAATGGATTTTCCTAGGCCGTGATGCAATCTTATCATAGAAACTATATATTTAAGATTTATTAGTCCATGCTTCTATCTTGGGGTCCAATGAGAATATAGACGTATTAAATAGAAGTTAGATTATTATTATTATTTTGTTTAAGCTGAAATTAAATAATAATTCGTTGTAAGAGTTAAACAAGGGTAGGGGCGCCTGTTTCACAAAGTGAGACAGGTGAGGTGAGAGCTCACATTAAAATAAAACAAAAATACATATATGTGAATTGATTAGAAAGGATTTTAAATATTATATAGTTTGATTATAATAAGGGGAGCAAGAAGACTATGCTTGCTGTGGCACATGGCCAATTTGTTAGAATCTTTCATCTTTAATTATCATTTAGTCTCGTTTTTAATTCATTTTAATTATCTGTCTGATCTCTGTTAACATCACTGTCGTTTCCATTACTATTTCGTCATCGTCAACGTCATCATTCCGATCATTGTTTACATCTATATTACATATATATATATATAGGACACACACGACGTCGATTTTTCTGTATCACGGATATAGTACATATAATTGCGTATATCAAAGAACTTAATTGGTTGTATTTTTTTTTAAATTTAAAATTTGATTTTTGGGTTGAAACAGAATATATCTTTCTCCGAAGATACGATGAAGCAGACGAGAGATCGACGAGGATGAGATTCGAAGACGTGACAACTTCGGATTTGACTTCATATGGACCCAGATTTGGTGATGATCTTCAGAGCTAGATATATACATTTACATATATATATATAAAAGAAAGAAAAAAATGTACGCAGATCAGTAATATCGTACTATATCCACTAATTGGGAAAAAAATAAATATAAAAAAAAAAGAGGGGGCAAAGTTTTCAAAGGCGCAGAACTCTTGGAGTGTCCGATGGGGACATTCTCGGAGGTCAAGAGGAGAACGAGAACGGATCTCGAGAAAATCCACATGTCTGAAGCAGATGATGAAGATGGTGGTGGATTCTCTATATATACAAGTGTATATGTGTGTACACACACATGCATGCATGCATGCATGAATGCGCACACCAAGATGTATGTATCACCATGAATGTATCAATGGTACTCTGTTTTCTTAATTTAATCTTCCTCTGGGTTTTATTTTAATGTTTTTGTAATTGGCAGAACGTGAATGGAACTGTTGAGATTCTGGGAGGAGATTATGAGAACAAAAAGTGGGGGCCCCCTAACATATGATTACAATATGGGATGGTGGAGTGACTATTACATACACAAATACACACACATACATATATATATATATATATGTGTATATATAGATGTATACATAGCTTTAAGCTTTCAATCTAAGTTGCTGTCTTTTTTTTTAGTTCTTTTTGTTAACAAACCCACTTTCTTCAGTCTCAAAGTTCAATTGTCTCAGGGGTCCATTTCATCCTTTTTTTTTTCCCATCATTGTCTTTGAATTGCTGAAGGGATCTTGTAAGCTCTTCTCTGCATTGTTCTATTGAAAAAACTAGTTGTCCTAATGGCAAGTGGGGCTCTATTTCCAGAATCATTTCTAACACAGAGGCCAGACATGAATCCTCTCAGTTCTATTGCAAAACCCATGTCACACTTTGCTCTGCTTCTGCCCAAAACCGAGCATCCTCGGGATCGGATTGAGGAGATGAACTCGGTTTCACCGGAAATCAACCTTCACCTGCTGGCCATAAAACAAAAATAGATAGAGAAAATGGTTAAAGTGTGTTCGTAAAGACCAATCAAGTCATGTATCCTTTACCAATGGGCGCCTACAACTTTGACAAAAAGGAAGAGACTTTAGGCACACTGAGATGAGCCTTTTGCCATGTACAAAGGTCAGATGAACAGTGAAGCATCTGTTTCCAAAATCATTTGGGATGCGGATTCCCTTCAAATGCTCTTCAAGGCCTTCACCCACAGATGAAAAGAGTGTATTATCCAGAGAAGAAATCAATCATTAGAAGGGTTCAAAAGATGAGAGTATCCCCACCATGTGCAAATCCAAAAAGGAGAGTTGGAACACCCTCAATGATGATTATTTTTATAAAAAAAAAAAAACCGAGTGATCTATCACACAAAATGGACCCTCACTCATCAGGCCTGAATCCTAGAACACTTTGTTTTTCATCATCATCTGTATGTATCTCATCAAATCACTTCAGAATGTGTTGTATCACAACTCATGATTTATCTAAAAGAGACTCTAGAAAGTCACCAAAGAGCCTCTAGGCAGAACAGTAATCTGGAATCTTCCCAGGTCAGAGGACCCGAGATTGCAATCAGAAAGCAGAGACAGTCTATGTGGTGGAAAGCAGAATGTTCTAATGATATTAGTTAGATCTTGCAAGGAATCTGTAGTCGGGTTCTTAAGGAAATGGCATGGCCTATAGCCAAACTGGCTCGAGAACCGACTCCAAGAGGATTAGAGAAAAGCAAAGAGCAATTTGCCTAATAGTGGATTCTTGACACAAGAACCCTTCCTTTTCAAGTGGATTCTTGACACAAGAAATTTGTTGGACCTAATAGCATATGGTTCCTAAGCAGTAAAACACAATCTTGATTAGACAAAAACCTCGCATCAAATAGATGGAAACAAACAAATACAACACTAAAGATGCCTATCCACCAGTTCACCACCTAAAAGGGTTTTCGGGTTATGCTGCACATGCTCTGACTTTGAGTGCAGTGAGTGAGTGCTAATCTAAGGCAGAAGCATTTTGTTGACATGACAGCAGAAATATAAACACAGATATGCAAAACATGCGCAAGTTACCTTTTGTTTGGTGATCATACTTGCAGCAGGTGATCCTCAGGGCCCCATGAAGATTCATTCAGGCAAGAGAAGAGAATTACTGCTTTTCTGCCCAAATCCAGTGTCTCAGTGGCCTCTGCAAGTGGGAGAAGGGCCCCAAGAAAGGAGCCATTATCACTAGTTCCAAGAAGCTTTTGGCTAGTTAAGATGCCCAAAAGCCTCCTTGCATTTCGGGGTTTCGTCCTGCCGTGGAGTTTTTCAATCATACAAGACTAAAGTACAATACTGAATGTATCTATATTACTCCATGAGAGGCTTTCTTCAACCACTCGAAAAACTTCTGTTCCCTGAGAATCTATCTGATGTTTTCGCCTTTTTGCAGTTTCTAGGGGGCAAGACATCTTTCTCTTTTCCAGTTTCGAAGGCATCTGTCATAGGAAAAGATGGTTGAATTGGCATGGAACTCAAACCCATTAACAATTACCTTAGCTTAGCTTTAGGTCTCAGGGGTAGGAAAGTTTTGGAGCCAGATGAAATATTAGCATGGAAATGTAAACACGTTTATGGAAACAACAAATAAGGGTATACTGTATACATATGCTACTAGTGGTAGAAATCTTACAAACCATTCCGCAACTTCCACCAATGGGCGGTGCCCTCGACAAAACTAGGAGAACAACCTGTTATGAGCAGGCTTCTGCCCTGCAGAATTGCTGAAAAGACATAATCCGAAGAAGCTGTGGATTAAAATCCTGCGTCAGATAAGATCGGTGTTCTGTTCAATAAAATTCACATGAAGCAACGTGTTGATGAATAATGGGTGGTGTTCTCAATCAATCTTGATTCTTGGCCAAGAATCCAAGATAGGTTTGTTTAAGGCCTTAACAGGAGATGCTTGACAAATAGGCCACCTCAATGTAAAAGGTTGCATCATCGACTGATTTCTTGAATAATTCATACAACCAAGTATCCACGACCTAACCAAAGGCCAAGTAGCTTTCTTTGAGTTATCAGCCTCGCCTGCTGCGATTTTTTAAGTCTTCCTTCTTCTGCAATCTGCATAACTTGTTCGACATCCTCTTGGGACCTTGTATAAAGCTTTTAAGGGTATCCCTATATGCAGAAGCTCATGCCATGGCACCTTTGCAGCTTCCTTTGTGGACGAAAAATGGAAAGAACAAAACCAAAAGATAATTATTGAAAGAATGCAAGATAGACTACACAGGAAGTGAGCACTATATTGAATGGAAGAGAAGATTTAAGAAGATAATAAGAATTAGGGAAAGAACTTCTCAAATGTCAACAACCCCAAGTCTTTAGATCATAAATCACACCAAAGGTCAAATATCCAGTGCCCATACGACAGCAAAAACTTGTAATTTGCATAAAAAACTGTGGCAATGAGATGTGCCCAACCCAGTACAGTATAAAATAATTACATCATTAATAACTTACAAGCTTCCAATCAATCAGTAAAGCATATTTTTCTATAGCAGTATAGACAAAATAACTTAACAGGTCTTACTGAGATCTTCCAAGACAGAGGGCTCATTCTCTTTAACTTCTTTTATAGCTTCAAGTTCCTCATGCTTCTTATAATCATTTGGTAGAAGATAAGGACCTATATCTCAGACCCAGTTTGCAGCACAAAGCCTATAAGTTTCCTTTGTGACCTAATTATCACATCATGAAACCAAAAACTATCACTCAGTGATTAGAATTAGACGGTTCCATTCGAAGGATAAGCCCCTCACATCTCTGAAAATATGAGAAAAGTCATCCTCCAATCACATATATTTCTACCATCCCTAAAACCAACACCAATGAGACATAATCAGGCTTCTGATTGCAAGAATGCGGAGCCCTGAAGCTTTCTCCCCTTTTGGAATTCTTTAAGAATGAAGATAAGAAAAAAAAGGGCATCCCCAGATTTCACGCTTCCTCAAAATCATAAAAGACAAACAAATTCTGAGCTCTATTCGCAATGGAAGAGTCTATGATTTGTTCCGTCCATTCACCGCTCTATGCTTCGGCAGGAAGAAAAAGGAGCAATCTTTGTCATTCATTCGAAGCCTAAAAGCCGCAACAACCAGATGATCCAGAGGCTGATTGTGCCAATTTTCCACAATGCGCATAATCCAAATACAAGTTTCTCCATAATATAACATCGCATAAAATCTTGACGGCACTTGAACCTAATCGAAGGATTAATATACAACGTCAAAGAACCCATGATCTCTTCACTAACACTGATGAGAGCAATTTCCGACAAAGGGCAAGGGTCCAAACAAGTCAGATTCTCAAGAAAGAGATACTATAACGCTAGCAATCAGAATCATCACAAAAATCTCGCAGACAAAGAACCCAAAATGCACGAGAAGACGAACCGGGGAAAACCCAAGGAAAATCTCAATTCGGAAGAGAATATTTTCAATACCCAGAAGGCGAAACAAGAGCAAACGAGGAGCAATCATGACGAAGAAGTTCGGGAATCTCACGAGAAATCGGTCGTTCCAAGTCAAGTTCCGACGCTTCTTGATGCGAGAAGGATCGGCGAGAGAAGGAAGAGAAAGCAATTTCCTTGGGATCGCAGCGAACATAATCGTACACTTTCCGACAGACACAACCTTCAGCTTCAGCTTCAAATTCGCGGAGGAGAAGAGGGACCGTTACAGTTTTCCGGCCAAACAGTTTCCGTACAGAGAAGAGGACCGTACGTTTAGGCGGCCCAGAACTTTCATTTGGGTTTGGGCTTAAGAAGTGCAAAGCGTGAAACCGTACATGTATCTTCTTGATTCTTCCAAGGCCTTGTCCACGACGGCTTAGTCTAATAATTAATTAATATTTAATTCGATATTTGGTATAATCGAATCCTGATTTATATACGCTTAAACATATTCATCTTATTAAAATTTTATTCAACAAATTTTTTCGCGGCTATATTTTGCTTTTGAGTCGAGAATGGCTATATATATATATATATAATGTTGAGAAGGCAAAAAATCCAAATTACACAGAAGCTTCCATAAATTATACGTTACCATAAAAAAAAAGGGGTGAAAGAGAGAGGAAAAGGGTATATTTACATCTTACGTCTCTCGCTTACGAAAGACTAGAAGACTTGTTCAAAGAGAGAGAACTCGTATCATTCATTATTCTATTCTAATAATAATAATAATAATAATAATAACAAGAGAATTAAGGCATAAAATCCAATTACATAGAAGCTTCCGTAAATATTTTATCACTTACCATATAAAAAAAAGGGCGAAAAAAAAACCAAGAAAAGGGTATGTTTACATTTTACGTCTCTTGCTTGCAAAAAGACTTGTTCAAACAGAGAGGAAGAACTCATACAATAGAATGGATCATCATCATCATCATCATCGACACATAACGTCTTTGAAGCACTTCTTCTTCTCCCTTCCTTCGTCATGTCCCTTCGTCTTCATTAAGATCAGGAAATATCTCTGCGTCTTCGTATCTCTCCTCGGCCTCATCATATTATCCGGCGTCGTCGCCTCTTTGGAGCCTCGCACTTTGCTCCTCCGTCTTGGGTTCTTGTCCGAAACCCTAAACCAACGACCATACTGTGATTACTCGTACGGAAGATGGGTTCGTGTCGATGGAAACTCGAGGGTTCGATTGTACGGAGAGGATTGCAGGTTTCTCGACCCGGGTTTTCGTTGTCGCAGTAACGGAAGGAAGGATTCTGGGTATCTTCAATGGCGATGGCAACCGTACGGCTGCGACCTTCCCCGGTGCGTACGTATCTGTTGTGTATATTTACGTATGAAACTATATATGTATATTGATCCTTGTCCGTGTCTCGAACCACTTCTTAACGTCGTTCCTCATTTTTTTTTGTCTCGTATGAATCGGTTTGCATGTTTCAGATGCATAAATTACGTTGAGTTCGTGTTCTGATAAACGATCTCGACCCTTTTCCAATCTCGACAACACCTTAACTCTAGTCTTTGGCCAGGAATCTGAATCTACTACAAGCTTAGGTTCTAGGGTTTTGTCTGTACTTCATTATTCTGCATGAGACTTGAGGGAATATCTATATCTATATATATATGTATATATATGTGTACATAATCTTAAAGATTTGGGTGTGATGGTATGATGTGATTTAGATTCAATGCGAGTGATCTTCTGGAGAGGAGTAGGAATGGGAGGATAGTTTTTGCCGGAGATTCTATCGGGAGGAACCAGTGGGAATCTCTATTGTGTATGATCTCTGAAGCAGTGCGGAACAGATCTTCCATATACGAAGTGAATGGGAATCCCATAAGCAAACACAAAGGATTTCTCTCTATGAGATTTCCCGACCACAACCTCACCGTCGAATACTATAGAGCCCCGTTTCTGGTGGTCATTGGCCGCCCACCCGAGAACTCGTCCGAAGAAATCAAGATGACGGTCAGAGTGGACGAGTTCAACTGGCAGTCCAGAAGATGGGTCGGATCTGATGTCTTGGTCTTTAACACAGGGCACTGGTGGAACAAAGACAAAACCATCAACTCGTACGAGGGATTTTTTTCTTGTTTCTTTTAGATTCAAGTAGCTCGAGAACATTACCGTCTTATTTTTTGAGTTTCCCTTGCTGGGTTTTGTTTTGTTTTTGCAGAGGATGTTATTTTCAGGAGGGAGGGAAACTGAACAAGACAATGGGAGTAATGGAGGCTTTTGGGAGGTCTTTGGGGACGTGGAAGTCATGGGTCACAGAGAAACTAGATCCTGAGAGGAGTCATGTCTTCTTCAGAAGCTTCTCTCCAGTTCACTACAGGTCTTTGTTTCAGACAACATCAAAGAAGTTTTTCTTTTCCAGATCTTGGACCAGGGTTTGAGCTTGTTGGTGGTGTTTTGTAGGAATGGGACATGGAACTTGGGCGGCCTATGTGATGCAGAGACAGAGCCAGAGACTGACAAGAGGAGAATGGAACCCGACCCAATTCATAACAGATATATAGCTCAAGTAATCGAAGAAATGGGATATGGACACAGCAGTAAGGTTAAGTTTATGAATATCACATATCTAACCGAGTTTAGAAAAGATGCTCATCCTTCGCGTTATCGAGAGCCGGGCACTCCTGCTGATGCTCCTCAAGACTGCAGCCATTGGTGCCTACCTGGTGTACCTGACACATGGAATGAGATTCTCTATGCTCAGCTTTTGTCAATGGGTTATAGAACAAAGCAATAACTGTACTCACTCGGTGTATGTTTTCTTTTTTTATTCTTCTTCTGGTTATGCTTTTTCCTCGTTGCCTTCTTCAGACTCCGTTTCATCGGTTTGCATTTCCTTGACTTTCTCGAGCTGTCTCAACAGGTTCAACCTTTCGGGTCCATATGTGGAAGGGATCTGAACAAACAGATGATATTGAATCAGCTTAGTTGGACATAAGGTTCTGATTTCTGATGAATCTAGCACAGAAGAACCAATCTGGTGGAGAAGGCTGTGTACCAGAGCAGGGACATATCTCTGAATAGCAGCCAGCATTGCCGCATGGCCAACAGCTGTCACCTGTTTAGACATAGTTTAGCCATTAGGTTAAAATTTGGAGACCGAAGCATATCCTCTTATCAGAATCGTACGGAATGGTGATTGGGTTATATTAGCTTGTATCAAGAAAGACATCAATAGATCTAAGCTTGGAGCTTCTGACAGAATGTACTTCAATCTTTCTATGACATGATAAGTAAAACTATGTAATGAACAAGATCTGATCTCTGAGGAAGAACAACAGCAGCAGTTGGAAACAAGATAGTTGTTAAGTTGATGTACGGAACAAATTTTGTTATGCAGGTCTCTTACCGGGAGAAGCATTAGGAAACCAATTGGAACTACTGATGCCAAGTCAGTCATGGTTCTGCGAAGAGCTTTCTTTTCTTTTTCAGTTAATTCATCCCCTATCAGGGACCTCCGTAGCAGTTCCATGGCAGCAGCCGAATCAATAGCAAGAAGCTGAGTTCCTTGCCAAACGTCCTGCCAAAATTAGCAAGCCCACAAAACATCCATGTAAAACCCATATTAGGTCATGAAAACACCGAACCAAACTATTAAATTAGACAAAATGGTTTAAGGAACAATGGCCATATAAGAAAAGATGATTTTGGTGACCAGACATAACAAGTGATGATCCTAAGAGTTGGGAAGACAATCCATACCGTAGTTGTCTCTCTTAGCTTGTGAATAGTTCTCTCAACAACGCCTTCTCTCTTTGGAGTCTGAGCCAACTGTACATCTCCAGTATTAGCTCTCGATTCAGGAACATTCTCAGAGATTCTTTCCTACAGAAAACAGGTGAATGTGCCTGTTAGGGAACAAAGGCAAGAGACGCTTATCAGTGGAGTCACCCTCTACTGGTTCAAGAAGTTTATCCATGGATCAGAGCTTAAAAACATTGCATGGCCTTTCCATGAACTTGATCGCAATGTGACTAATATGCCAAAAGTGGTGCAAAAGAGACATCAAGCTGAGATAACACGAACCGTTAAAGGTGTCGGGCCATTTGATTCGGATATCAAAACATGATGGAAATCGAACCAAGAGTATTTATTTGCATTGGGAATGGCACTCTGAAACTGCTATAACAGGTGCAGAAACAATTTCAAGATCTTGCAGCAGCTGGTGTTAGACTTACCTCTTCATTTTCTGATTGATCAGTACTTCTTTGGACCCGCTTTTCAAGTTCTATCAATTCATTCCTTAGAAGTTCAAATCTGTAAATATCATTAGGTTCAGAGTCCATTTTGTCTATGCTTGCACTGGATTTCTCAATATATTCATTTCCCTGCATACAGTGAAAGAATTCCAGAATCACTCCTATGTGAAGCTAATTAATAAGTAATTGACTGATGAAATGCAGTACCAGGCAAAAAGAGCATCGTCCAAAGGACTACAGTCTACTGGACAATATTCTTAAGAACAAGATATCAAAGTCGTTCAGCAGAATGCTTTGGATAAAATGAAAAGATGGAACGTACCAATAACTCAGGCACGTCTTTCTTCTTCGAAGGGAATGCAAAGAAGCCCCAGAGCCCTTGATTATTACGAGTTCTGGAACAAAATAATCATATATGGCATAATCGGCGGGGAAGAG